TTGGATTTAGTCATGGGGGGGGGGCTCTGGGAGAGGTCTGGGCCTGGCTGGGTGTTTTTGGGAGGGGTTGCAGGGAGAGGGTACTCACTGCATGGGGACTGGGGGGGGAGGGTGGTGGCATGAGGCCAGGGCTCCCTTACACTGCAGGCCCAGCCTGGCCTTCATTCTGGGGTGCAGCACTTCACCCCCACTGTCCTCATCCCTGCAGGCTGCCCAGCGCCTCCGGAGCCTGCCCGAAGAGCACTACCGGACGAGGGCCGGGGCAACGCCGTGATGGGGGCCGCCGGCCTCGGGGTGGAGGTGCCTTGCATTTGCAGCGGAGGGAACTACATCGCAGCATGAGGGGAGGATGGGCTCAGCCCTGCCAACTCGTGTCACCTGTGAGCGGTCCAAGACTGAGGGCTGTCCCTGGGTGGTGTGGCTGGAGGCTTGGGGCTCCCAGGCCATGCTGCTGAGTATATTTGCTGCTGCTGCTGCTGCTGCTGCTACTTAACCTCCTCGTGCCTGTGCTTGCAGCCTCCCTATCTCTCCCTCAGGCTCCTGCCAGTCAGTTCCCCCTCTACCTCACCTACCTCTGGGAAGAGCTGCCTGGCTGGGCTGGAGATGGGGAGGGCTCTGTGCCTCTGTCCCCTTCCCTCTGCCCTCCAATAAACCATGCACACCAAAGCAGTTTCCTGTCCTGTGGCTGGTGCGAGTGTCACAGCTGCCTGCTCTGTGGGATACCCCTGAGGGGTCTGGGGTTGCTTGCATGCATGTCCCTTTGGCACCCTGACCTTGGGGCTGCTGGTTAAAGGTGCTTGCTGGCTGCAGCAGAGGCTGAGGATGCCCTGGAGAGTGCGGAGGGGGCAGGGAAAAGGACTGGGATTTGTGGTGGTGGGGTTTACGAGGAGCTCAGGATGGCCCCTGGGTGCCTGCCCTTGGACACTGGCTTCTCTGGTCTCACTCATGGGGGGGGTCACAATGTCCCAGTACTGCCCCCCACCCCCAAGCCCTGGGCCTGGACTTGGGGCAGGAACAGCTTTGCCCAGGCTGAGGGTGGTGCTGAGCTGGTCTCCCTGCTCCTCTGCCAGGCAGCAGGGGCTCGGGCCTCTGCCCCTAGCTTGGGCAGCTGGGTATCCCAGCAGCTGCTGCCCCAGTGGGTGAGGGGGGTAACCCCCTTGCACCCCCAGTCCCCTGTGCTGGCAAGATGAGCTCCTGTGCTGGAGAAACTAGTCCAGGGTGAGCAATTCAGTTACCAGGCCCTGAGATCTGAGCTCTTTCCCTACCCCTTAGTACCCTCCAGTGCTCCAGTTTTTTGGGCCAAAGGGTTGGCAGAGCTCAGCATGGGAGTGGCTCCCCTTCCCTATCAGCTGGGGCTGGCAGATGCTGGGTTCATGAATTTATTCTTTTTTATTTATTTATTTATTTTTTCCTGGGAAGGACTGTAGTAGGGAAAGGTTGGGTTTTAAGTCAGCATCTCTCATCCTGTCTTGAAGGTAAGGCTCGTGTTGCAAGGGAACAGGCCTCCCCGGGGGTTGAACAGCCCCTCAGCCTGGCGCAGAGCAGGGCTGCCCACCACCTGGGTAGGGGGAGAAGGCTTGCAGGGGTGCAAGTGCCTTTTGGGGTCCAGGGTCTGGATGAGTCTTGCGCTGAGCCAGATTATGCTGGATGCCAGCTGCAGGCTCTGGCTTAACTGGGACAGACTGGCCATCATGGATCCCTGGCTGGACTGGGGGCCCCTTGACTCTGGGGGCTGACATGCTGGGATGGGCAGGATGCTGCTGCTGTCCAGCCCTGGACTCCCAGGGGGGACAGCCTACGTCACAGCCACGCTGTAGGGACAGCCACATGTGCAGGGGAGCATGCTTCCCAGCACAGGAGCAAGGCCACAGGGAAGCCTGGGGAGGGGGTTGTCTGCCTGGATCTTGCACCAAAGCTGCCTGGCATAGTCCAAAGCCTCTCCACTGTTTACACTCTTTTTTGTAGGGTTTTCTCTCTGCATTAAACTTTTTTGCTCCTCTCTTTTAGCAAGAAGCTGTGAGTCTTTCTAGTGCCCCAGTAATGTGGTCCCTGCCCGCACTGCTGCTGTGGTGCCACTGGGCAACTCCCATGGGCGTGCCTTGCCCTGCCTGGCACACAGCAGATGGGGAGGAACCAGCAACTTCCTGCTCCTCAAGTTGTCTGCCCCTACTTGTCTCCTCTGCTTGGTCCTAATTGCCGGCTGCCTAGGGCGGTGGGAGGAGGGGGAGATTAGTACTGGGATGGGCACGACTGCCCTAGCTCCTAGGAAATCCCTGAGCAGGTTGCAGGAGGCCAAGCCCTGGTGCAACTGCATGGGGAGGGTTGCACTGGGGCACAGGGTGTGAGCAGGGCAGTGTGGGTGCTGGGGTAGCCTGATCCCAGAGGTACATGGTGGCCCTTGCAGAGGGCAGGGCTGTATCCCAGCCTTTCGTGCCCTTTGGGAGGGCTTAGTCATAGCCTGGTGCTGTGGGAGAGCTGCTTGGTACTGAGGGCAAGTCTGGAGCCTCCTGGCACACAGCTCTCAGCACATCTGGCCCAGACCATCCCCTGCCCTGAACAGCTGAGCTGCTGCTCTCTTGCCGTCTTTAAAAGCCATCACGCGCCTGCTGGGAGCCGCAGCTCGTTCCTGTCTCTGCATCCAAATGGCCCCATTTGCTTTTTAAGGCCTCTTGGTCATTAGGTGCTGGCAGCAGCGAGGTGCTGTATGCGGTTCCCTCCTGCTGCGTTAGTGCCTGTGCGGCTCCTGCGTGACCCAGCACTGGAGCTGTGCCTCTATCTGCTGCCTGGGCCCTGCCTGACCTTGAGAGCACCCTTCCCCTCGGGCTCGTGCTGGGCCTGGGAGTGGCTGCTGGGGGGCTCTGGGGTCCTAGGAGCCTGTGGGTGAGATGTGGGGGGTGAGGAGGGGGCTAGGGCCAAGGGCAGGGACAGCAGCTGCTGTGGGAAGGGACTGGCGGTGAGCAGGGGGGAGGCTTTGTATGACCTTGGGGGGAGCTGCTACTAGCTGCTGGCTGGACCCTGGGCAGATGTGGCTTGCAGCTGGGGCAGCCTGACTAACCCCCCTACCCATTAGGGTAACTAAGTGCCTGGAGAGCCCCAAGCTGTGTCCCTAAGGGCTCCCTGCACCAAACGTGTCCTGAGCTGCACCAGGGCTGGTGTTTGCAAGCCCTGCAGGTGCCAAGACACAGAGCAGCGGCTGGGATGTTTCCCTCCCTGCTCTGTGCCTAGTTGCCGGCAGGCCTGCGAGGCTGGAGGAGGACCCTGGGGGCTGCCCTGGTCCGTGGCCCTCAGTGGAGATGGATGGGGGACTAGCCTCTGGCTCTGCACCCCCAGCTGCCTGCAGCCCTGTGCTCAGGGTTATCCAGGGCAAGCAGTGAGGCACCGGCCCAGTGTCGATCTTCCCTCTTGCTGGAGGCTTCTGGTCCAGACTCAGCCGCTCCCCAGCTCTGAGGTCCAGCAGCGTTGCTGAGAGGGGCTGGTCCCCAGCCAGGGCCCTGCACTGCCTTTCCCTCCTCCCAGGATAAGAGCCTGTGCATCAGCTACAGGGGCTGCCTTACCTCCCCGGTGCCTATCCCGGGAGATACCCACCTGTGCTTCTCTCTGCAACGAGTGGGGCCGTTGCGTGCCCAGCCTCGGCTCCCCCTCCACAGCCCCGGGACTGTGGCTGAGTTGGTTAGTGGGCAAACTGGCTGCCGTGCAGCTCGTCCTCGGCATGCACAATTAGCCTTGATTTACAAGGCTGCCGGCAGGGTGCCCAGCCTGGCACGCGTGGCTCTGTGCTGCGGCCGCTCCGCGTCATAAGTCAAGGCGTATTAAACTTTACAGTCGCCGGGTTGAACCGCGAGCTGCCTTCCCCTGTAAATCAGCACGGGGAGGCTTGTAAATGCCCAGGCAGGCTCCATATTGCTTAATTAGACAGTGCCTAATGAATGGCGTGTTTGCGGCCTTGTGAGTTAGGAGCCCGGGTCTGGGGTGGTTTGGGACCTGGCCCTGATAGCCATATGAGAGGGCTGTTCCTGACCTATTTAAGAGTGGGTTAGATGGATGCTTGACTAGGAGGGTTCAGGGGAGGGGGCTGCACTAGACTTGCCCTCCCAAGGGCCCTGCCAGCCCAGCTGCTCTGTGATCCTACAACGCACCCTGATTTCTCAGTCTGCTGTGACTTGTCATGCCCCAGCATATGCGGAGACCCTGGGCAATCATGCCCCTTTCCTGGGAATATGGTTGCAGGGCCCTGGACCTGATAGCGAAGGGGGCCCCTTCCCACCCCACATCCCCAAAGGGAGCTCAGGGACCTGGGGCCACAGTGGAAATTACTCACAGCACCTTCACTGGAGACTGCTCTCCACAGCACAGCACGCAGGCAATGCTGCTAGGCTCGGACGCATCCCACCCCAGAGCCGGCTGCATTTTAGCAGCAGGTGCGATGCATGCTAGGCTCCGCATGGAAAGCTTTTGGCACCTCACCCATCCATCACAGCAACTGTCCTTGCTCTGGGTACTACCCAGGCTGCAGTGGCCTCGGGTTTGGCTGAGCTGGGCAGAGGCAGAGAGGAGGAAGGGAGCTGAGTCCTGGCTGCTGCACTCAGCCATGAAGCAAACACATTAAAAGTGCATTAAAGCCCCGTCGGTGTTTGCTCTCGCCTCGGCACGCTAATGGTGCTCGGAGCCGTGATGCAGGGGTCGTGGCGCGGGCCGCGGCCGAGCTGGGTCAGTGCACGTGTCCTGGGCCAGCAGCCAGCCATGAGCGCGGCAGGGAGCATGGAGATTAAGAGCTGTCTCATGGAGGCTGGGCTGCAACGTATTTTCATTTGCCTCTGGTTTCTCTGTGTGCTCACGGCTCTGGGAGTGGGCTGCTAGGCCTGGGCTTCCTCAGACCGGCCTGGGCACCGCACCCGGCACTATGGGAATGAGGGTGGGGAAGTACCACGATGCCCCTTTATAAATCCACGGTGCATCCACACCTCGACAGCTGTGCCCGGGTCTGGTCCTCACATCTCCAAAAGGAGAGAGGAGACCTGGAGATGGTGCAGAGGAGGGCAGTAAGGAGGGTGAGAGTGCAGCCAGATTCACCAAGATATTGGACGTGTGTTTGGAGGAAAGGGGCATCTGTAGCTACAGAGCAGGGAGTGAGGGGCATGGCCACTAAACGCTGGAGGCTGCAAGGGCGAGGGGGACAGAGGAAAGCCTTGCTCACCATCCCTTCCAGCCTCTGCCCAGCCTCTGCTGTCGTGTGCCACCGGAGACTGGGCAAGACGGGCCTAGGCATCTGACTTGGTATGTGGCAGTAATCATGTTCGTATGAGGCACTAGACCCATGTTGGCCTGCAAAGCACCACCCAGGCCTCCAATGTCGGTGCAAAGAGGCTGCGGGGAGAGGCAGAGTGGTGCAGAAGGGGCTTGGAGGTGATGCTAACAGCTGGGAACGGGCTGGGACGATGCAGCTGCTCCAGGGAGTGGATTAACCATGTACTCCGCTTGCCTCGACCTGCCACGAGTCATAAGCCTTGCACCCACCCGCCGTGCTACTGCCGCCCTCTCCTCTTGCCTGAGCTGCTGCTCTGCTTGCTGCCTCCAGCCCTATGCTCCCTGCCTGATCTGCCCCCCTGCTTTCTGCTCCCCGCTCTAGGTGACTTGCCCTTGCCTCCTGTCCCTGTTTGACTGCAGACTCAAATCAAAGCCAAG